CTCAGCTGAGGCCCAGCACCACTATTATGGTATGTAAGGCTTGCAGTGGCTTTTGCCTTACTAAGGATTATTTCACTCAGCATGGCCTTGTATGGTGTGGAGTCCCTCTGCCTCACCAAAAGAAAAAAGCTCTTGTTGTCAAGAGAACCTGGAGTCCCTCCAAAGCCCTTCCAAAGGCGCCCCACTGATTCAAAAGCCAGAGACACTCCCTTGTCAACAAAGCTGTCCTATACGTAAGAGTCTGGAGGACGAATTACACTTGGATCATTGCTAAGTCTTCATCATAGACCTTATTTATTTGATTCCTGCTGACATTAATGTGAAGTATCAGCACTTTTCCTTCTGGGAGAGAATACAGTGATTGAATTGCAAGTTTTTTGGTTATGCAATCAGAAATGCATTTGTATGAGGAAAAGTGGATTAGTACCTACAGAAATAGGCAAATGAAAATGGCTGTGGGATTGGTTTTTGGCAAAGCTTGAGCTTGAGATTGACAAATGAAACCCAACTGTGACTGGAGAGAATGTTCTAGAATTAAAGGACTGGAAGCCTGGAAACTGGGATGTCAGTTTCCTTGCATTTCAGAGAAAATTACACATGCAAACACAAGGCAGCTGTTATCATTCTGTTGATTAAATGGCTGTTTCTAAAGCAGCTTTATTCTGATTTCTGAAAGCAACAAGAAAATAAGAGAGACAGAGACAGAGAGACAGAGCTTAAGACACAGAGACAGAGTAAGACACAGGGAGACAGAGACAGAGACAGAGAGAGAGGAGAACGGACAGTATGCAGTTTGCCTTTTGGGAACTGATCTGGACCAAACATTAGTTGAATCTTCCCAAGGAAGGTCTGGCCTGGATTCAGTTCTCCCGTGCAACAGAGAGAGAGTGAAACACCGTAGATCAGGTATTCCCCGGGGATGGAATTTAAAAGCAGCTCCTCTACCCTGCCTACTTTGTAGTCCATCTTGGATAGAGGCTTCTGGTATGAGACTTGAAGCATCCGTGGAAGATCCAGGTGCTCACACATAGCCCCCACTTGCTGCCTCCTTTGTTTGCATTTCTGTGTTCTTTGTGTACATCTTTCCTCCTTCGGACTGCAATCATCTTTGGATGCAGGGGACGTGTCTCACTCACCTTTATAGCTCCTTTCTTTAACCTTCATCTCAAGGTGTTTGACCCATACCCAATTTTTTCGTTGTTAAACAGAAGTACAGTGAGAAGGAAACAGAGATGCTCCCACGTTTCAACTGCTACCAAGGAAATGATGAGACTGTTAGACTTACAGCCACCCACTTCAAGATCAAATAAAAATTTCCTTGAAGGATTTTTGTTTCTTCTTTTGTCTTTAAAAGAAGCAACGTGTTTATTGTGATGTTTGTCAAGCAAGATGGATCTAGAAAGGACCAGTGGAAGGATCATCTTGCTGAAGATAGGCCCTAATGCTAACCATCAATACTAAACAAGTGTCCATATCGCTGTAAGTAAGCTGAGTTCTATGCTCTTCACCTTTATAGCTACTGCTAATGGAGCTACATTCGCGAACGATGGTAAAAGTGCCTGTGAACGATGCCGTGATATCATACGACAGCTTTTTCTTTTCTTCACCCTCTTGTCCCAACGTAAGGTCTGCTGTGCACACCCCCAGCCTTCTTCTCCTTTGTGTCTTCATCCGCTCACAGAGTCCTCTTTCTCTTCAAGGGTTGGACGTGTGTGCCAGTTAACAAGCTGTTGTCTTTCGGTTCCTGCCTCAGCCTTCAGACTGCAAAGTACAAGGCCAGCCCCCTGTCAGGTTTGCTAAGAGGGATCTACTGGAGAGGGACTGGAATGTTCTCTTTCACTCCTGTTCCTGACAGCAGGACCTAATCTGTGACCCTTTACCCCATAGCTGACCTAGCCTCCAGCTTTCCTTTCCCTTGTCAGGAGGGAGCCTTACTTTCACTCAGAGGCCCTTCCCCCAGCTGTGCCATGATCCTTCTCAGAGGTCCAACCACGTCCACAAGCCCTCTCCCGCCAGCCTCTGCCCTCCGCTAACCTCAGCGTTTCCCCTTCCCTCAGTTCTCTGATTTGGGTGAGCTGCTTCCTGGACTTAGCATCCCCTCTGTCTCTTTTCAGCTTTGTAGAGTTCTGTGGTAACAACAGCTCATAAGCTCTCTTTGTGGAGTGTCTGGGTAGTTTCTGTTGGCCTGGCTGGCCCTGAATAGGTATAGTACATTTCCGGGGTCCAGCCCACCTGGGGCTGCTGGTCAGAAGGCCCAAAGTGCGGAGCAGCCTACGCTGTCCTCTGGATCTGCCGCACAGCCTGCTCTTGCTCTGGGCATTGAATGAACCCTAACTGACTTAACTGGTCCCCTCTAGATGGACAGTTAGGTTTTTTCCTGTCTTATTTAACTTAAACCAATGCATTAAATAATCTTAAACAAATATCTTTTGACAAATATACAACTACCTGTAAGATAAATTTATAGGAGAATTACTGGGTCAAAAAGATTGCCAAACTGTCCTTCTTGAGGCTGGTTGTGCTAATTTAGTCTCCCACAGGCTGTAGGCAGCAATCTGAGAAAGCAACAAAGCGAAGAGAAGTATCAGTAAGAAGGCCTTCCAGTGGAAGACAAACGCTTAGCATAAAATCTGTCCTTTGAGGAGTCACTTACCAGCCCAGGGTCCATGGGCTTCACGTTGAGCGCTTTGGAGATGAGGAAGGTTAAAGCACAACTGGAAGAAAGCTCTGTAAGATGCTTTGGTCCGCACTTGAAAGAGGACCACATAAAAGGGGAGACAGGCACTTCATGGATCACCCGCCCCACTGCTGGACAGTGTGAGGGCAGCTCTGCTCCGTGCAGACTCAGTTCTGAGCTAACGTGCCTGGGATGGCCGGCAGCAACAGTGGCACCTACAGATGTGCGGCCAGTGATGCAAAGGGCGGCGCCGTGGGCACCCCGCATGCTGCAGTCACGAGCACCTGTGGGACATCTCCAGGGGCTCCTGAAAAGCTCTCGAGTGGAACTTTAAAGGGCACTGGGTCTGTTTACGTAGTAGCAAGGAGAAAGGACCCGGTGAAACACAGGCTACAAACTCATTCACCGAGGCCGTGCCTTTTTCAACCTACATCTTCGCCTCATAAGCGAGGGGTAGGTTTTGCCTAAACAACAACAAAGCAAAACACTCTGACCCTGTAACACACCTCTGGCAAACCTCGGCTGTGACAACACATTTACCACCTGTCGTTTGGCTTTCCTGTCACTTACTACCTGCTCGGCAGAGCTCTACCGAGCTCATCACTATCCTTGGTTAGCAGACAGGCTGCATTCTATGTGCTCGCTTTTTCTGATTTTCCCCTTAGCGTTCGGTGGTAAACGAAGCTGGGTGTGCAGCCAGACAGATGTCTTTCCTGCCCTGTAAGATCTGGGCTGCTTTCCTGAGGAGCATTTTTGCTTTATGCTCCCTGTGTCTTGTTTGTGCCATTCTTAATTTACAAACAGAGATGCTGTCACCACTAATTAACATTAATCAAGGGCTTCCTGGATGCATGGCTGCACAGGGATTAATTTAATATTCTCTTTGTTTCACACGTCAGATGTCTTCTTCAAATGGATTTTTAGTTGATGAGGAACAGAGACATCAATTAGGAATCAGGAAGACAAGCGTTTGCAGAAAACGCTCAAAGGGGAGCATCAAGGGCTGGTCTAATATTTGAACGTTTAAAGGAGGTATAATTTATCAGTGCACAGATGACAGACATGGAAGGCATCACAATCATTGCTCCTAAAGGTGCCTGGCAGCGTTCCGACCGGGAATCCACCATCTGACCGTCCCTTTCCCTCTTTAGGTACTGCGGGCCTCCTAGACTTCAAGGCTGAGTATGAGTATTTCCTCCCAACCCTTTCCTAGTCATCTCCACCCACATCTAATCAATCTCCACTCCACAAGGAGTCACAAGGGGTGACTCCTCGTTCCAACTCCTGTAGTTCTTTTCATTTACACTTTTCAATTGGAAATCGAGCACTAATGCATCATACTGTCATTGAATAAACACATGCACATCCTTTTCAAGGGGACTAGATCCCTGTCTGGGTAATTTCCTAATCCTGAGACAGCAAAGTGTTCTGCCAAGAATAGTTGTTGATGATGGGTATACTTCACTAAAATCAAATATAATTTTATTTTATTTTATTTTTGTTTTTCTCCGGTACCGGAAATCGAACTCACAACCTTGCGCTTGCCAGGCAGGCGCTGTGCCGCTGAGCTAAGTCCCCAGCCCCTTATAATTTTATTTTAAAAAACGGTGTTGGTGGTGCAGGACAAGGCTGAAGGTTTGGACGTGAGACTCACAGGCACCCACAATAAATGTTTTCTAATCTAAGGGCTGTGTGTACATCTTTTTTTGTGGGGGAAGGGAATGGAGGAGGCAGACAAACATTTGTGGGGGCAGACAGCAGTTTTTCTTTCGCGTTTCAATAAAATTTATCCTAACCTGCCCAAGTTATACCTGTTTTTCGACATTATCTCTTTTGACTTGACAACAGTGTCAAGCGGCTATCGGTTCCGGGAGCCGATTTTCAGACGAACAGACCCGAACTCTTTCCTTTCAGAAAAAGAAACATTCGGTTCTGTCATACCTTTTTGGAATGCAGAAAACACTCCCATGCTTTATGATGTCAAAAACCTGGGCCCAAGGAGGCAGGACGCCCCCGAACCCCACCAGCGCGAAGCCCCATTGTTGCGCAGAGCGACGACTCAAGACCCGTCTTCTTCCCGAGACGAAGCTCCCGGGGGCCCCGCCCACCCCGCTTCCAGGAGCCTCATTGGTCATCCCAGGAGCCTCATTGGTCAGCATCCCGCCCGCCATCTCTATTAGCTCTCTGGAGTTGGCAAGGGCACTGATTGGTAGAGTCGTAATGACGCCAAGAGACTATGCGAGTCTCTATTGGTCCTCATGCTGCAAAATGGGCGGGGAAAAGCAGAGCGGCAGGGCGCAAGGCGTGAGGCGCCGAGTGCGCCGGCGCGGCGCGTAGCTGGGGACGCCAGGCCACAGGCTCTTGCTAGGGAACCGACTGTTGTCGCCCCGCCCCGCCGGGCCCGCCGGGCTTTCTTCCCGTTAACTGTTGCGGCGGCGGGGCCGCCTGCGCCGGGGACATGCCGGTGCGCTTCAGGGTGAGGCTGGGGTCTCGCGCGAGGGGCCCGGGTGCGGGGC